CCGGGGATTGAACGAGGGTTGGCCACATGCAAGGCACGTACCCTGACTCTGCAGGGATTTACCCAGCCCCCACCACTGTCTGCCTTGTGGGCTGCGGACAGGCACAGCACACGTTCCCACTTCCTGGACTGCCAACAGCACGAAGAAACAGCCCAGAGCTCTCGGCGCACCACCAACTCTTTCTAGCGACTTCCCCGTGCTGCCCACTGAGAAGGCGCCCCCACCCCCCAGGGCAGGGGTGCGGGGGGGAAGGGTGTTGGAGTCTGAAGTGGGACTCCCTGTCCCCACTTCCAGGAAGGCACCTCCCGGACCCCAGCCCCGCGTGGTTCTCTGAGCTGTGGGCAGAGTTCAGCTGTGGGTCCTGACAGATGGGACAGAGAAGTGGCCCCGAGTCCTGCACCCCGTGGGTGACCCCCAAGGCCCCCTCTGGGTATGTGATCAGGACCCTCTAGGTGAGGGGTTGTCCCTGGGGGTGGGGGTCGCTCTGCTCTGTGGCCAGGAAGAGAGGAAGGGAGGTGGCAGGAGAGGTCTCCAGGGTCGGGGCGGTGAGCTGGGGGGTCTGGGTGCCAGTGGTGGGCAGGTGGTTGGGAAGTGGGGGGATCTGAGGCAGGGGAGGTTGTGGGGGCAGATGGCAGCTTCCTGGGGGGTCTCTGGGCAGACTTCAGAGACCCATCTGGAGGGAGGGGGTCCTGGATAGGGGGAGGTCCCTGTGGGCCCCATTCGGGAACTGAGGGGAGAGGAAGGGCAGGTGTTTGCTGAGCTAGGCCCATGGGGGCTACATGGGGGGGGGTCAGTGGCTTGGGAGGGGGCCGCTAGGGAATGCCCCCACCCTACTTCCTAGACTTCAAAGAAAGGCCTTTCTTTCCTCTTACTGGCGCAGGAAAGCTCCTTGTGAAAAATTCCAGCGGGCTGAGGCCAGAGGAAGGAATTCATGCCTCTCCCGGCCCAGGAGGGAGATTAGGGGATCAGGAAGAGGGGGTGAGGCGCCCTCCCTGACTCACCCACATTCCAGCCTCCCCCCTGCAGGAGAGAAGCTCTTTCTTTTCCCCTTCTAATGTGACGGGACTGAGTGTGTGTGTGTGGGAACCCCCCACCCCAGGTCACCCTCTCTGAGGATGCAAGGGGGCACCGGGCCGGCTGAGCTGGGGGCGAGCTGGGTTAGGACCCTTTGCCTGCTGCCCTTGTTTTTCTGCTGTCCTCCGGGACGGCTCCTATTCCTCAGGCCTCTTTTAATAGCAAGAAAGGGCTGCAAGGTGGTAGGTTCAGGCCGGCCTCTGGGGCTGGAGGTTTGCAGCCTTTCGGCAGCTGGAGACTCCAGTGGAGGCTGGACGTAGCCCTAGCGGGTTTCTGACTTGGGGTTGAAGGCAGCTAAGGAAAAGAAGCCCCTGGCAAGCCGAGGTCCGGAGGGGCAGGCCCCCTCTTCTGTTGGAGAAGGATGCAGAACCCCGAGGCTTGGTAAAACCCCGTGTGTGTGTGTGTGTGTGTGTGTGTGTGTGTGTGTGTGTATGCAGGGGGAGCAATGCTTGTGGTATTTGATCAACTGGACCAGAACTGAATGCTCAGGACCTGGAACTATGGGATATTTGAACCCAACAAAACTGGGGGTTGACCCTAGGATGCTGCGGAGAGGCCGGGGATGCTGGGAATTAAACTTGGGCAATTAAACTTGCCTGTTCGGATTGTGCCTGAGTCCTTTGAACTGCCTTTGGACCCCAGGCCCCTAGCTTGGCTGGATGTGGGGTTTCCTGTCCTAACTGCTGGACCGGGAACAGGAACATGATCTGTGAAGCTCCGCTTGACTGAACCCAGGGCCTGAGCCTCAGTGCTGAGCTAGGTGGTGCCAGGGAGGGGTGACCGGCAGTCCAGATCCACCTACCTGCTGTCCTGCTACCTGAGCCCTGGACCCCGTGGGAGATGCCATGGACAGGGAGTTGAGGAGGAGGAGGAGGGGGTTCACAGAAGCCGGGTCTGGGGGTGCTGGTGGGGGGTTCTTATGAAAGATGGCTGGAGCTTGGGGGTGTGTGTGTATGAGAGAGAGAGACAGAGACAGAGAGAAACAGAGAGATAGAGAGACAGAGAGAAAGAGAAAGAGACAGAGAGAGAGAGAGAGAGAGAGAGAGAGAGAGAGAGAGATCTGGAGCCAGATGTCTGGGTTTCATTCCCAACTCTACCCTTTAAGAAACACTTTTCTGGGGTGCCAGTGAGATAGTACAGTAGGTGCGGAGTTTGCCTTGCACACGGCAGGTCTGGGTTTGATCCCCAGCATCCCATCTGGTCCCCTAAGCCCTGCCAGGGAGTGATCCCTGAGTGCAGAGTCAGGAGGGCTGAGCACCAGCCAACCCCCTTTCCAAACCCTCACCATTCTCCCCCCCACCCGCCCCCTGCCAAAAAAAAAGATCACATCTTCTCATCTCCTCACATGGCTTGTTGTGAGGAGTAAGAGAGTGAGTAGCGGTCCTGATGGGGCTAGTGGCATGGAGTGGGCAGGTCTCACAGACCCGGATGGAAGGGCCTGCGGGGATGATAGTACAGCAGGAAGGGCACTGGCAGGAGGCCAACGGGGTTCCAACCCCGGAATCCTGAGCACCGCCAGGAGTAATTCCTGATTGCAAAGCCAGGGGTAAGTCCTGAGCACTGCTGGGTGTGACCCCACACCAACACAGCGACAAAATACCAGATGGTGGCATCTCCTGTATCTCCTGTACATCTCTGCTCCATGACTGAGGCGTGGCTCAAACCAGGGGCTGGGGGAGGGGCCAGGGGGAGCTTAGGTTAGGTCCTGGTTGGTTGAGTTTTGTAGGCACACCCAGCAGTGCTCAGGGTGGTCCTGTGCTCAGGGATTAGTCCTGGTGGTGCTCAGTGGACCGTATGCAGTGCTGGGGTTTGAACCTGGGTCAGTCCCGTGCAAGGCAAGCGCCCCTCCCTTCTCTCCTACCTCTCCAGCCCCTTGATTTTTGCCTTTTTTTTTTTTTAACCAAAAGAGTGGGATGGAACCATGATGAGAAACTTAAAAAAAAAAAAAAACAACAACTTACAGAAGATAACCAAGGCACAGATATTACTTAAAAATTGGCTACGATGATGATGATGATGAGATAGAATACAGGGTTTCCCCTCTGCCTCCCCAGGGCCCAGATGTGCTGGGAGTCACCCCCTACTCGGAAACCTGTGAACTGCAATGGAGGTATCGGAGACGTCCATGCAGCCGCCCAGGGCTCCAGAGCCAGACTCGGTCCCTCTCTCCCTGCCCCTGCTGACCCGTCCTGCGCGGGCGGCTGTGCCCGTCTCCTGGGGGCACATCTGTTTCATGCACCTGCAGCTGGACCAAGACTCTCTGCCAGCCGCCCTCCACCTCGCGTTTGGGGCCCCCACCCTTAGGTGGTGATCAGATGCCTTTAGGGGCGGGCACAGGGGTGAGGATGGGGGCACCCCTTCCCCTTGGTATAACAGCCTGGCCCTCTGGGCCCCATTCCAGCTCCACTTCCCATGGCTCCGTGCCCCGCAGCTCAACCCTCTGCCTTTCCTCTGACGTTGGCCTGGTGGGGCTCCTCGTTTTTCCTCCCTAATGGCTCCGGGACTTTGCACTTGACTTCATATCCTCTGCTCCCTCTCTGGGGGACGGGGGCAGGGGAGCACTGCTAACTCGCCTCTTTGGGAAGATCCTGCTGACTCCAGCTACGCTGTCCAGATGCTCCCCCAGCTTGGCAGGCCACCCCCTACCCCGATCTGGGCTCCCTGAGCGTTGCCGTTCTGAGCACATGACCCTGCCAGGGCCTGCTTGCGTGGGGCACCGATGCAGCTGCTTAGGGATCCAGTGAGATAGTCAAAGCCCTCCCTGCCCCCATCCACACCACCTGCAAGGGGGGGGGGCGCTGTCCCCGCATGAGAGGGGTTCTCCCGTGGAGGGGGGCGAGTCAGGGAGCAGAAGCAAGCAAGGCAGAAAGGCAACAGGACGGGGGCTAGATAGTCCCATGAAAATTTGGGACGCAGCTCTGAGGCCAGCTCTGTGCCCCTTACTGTAGGCCCGGGGACCTTAACTGATCTCTTTCACCTCCCCGAGCCTCAGTCTCCCTATCTGACACAAACAGCTTGACGATGCTAAAGACACTTAGTCGCACTGCCAGGGAGGTTTAAGGTGGTTACGCCACACCCAGAGGTGCTCAGGGCTGACTCCTGGCTCTACACTCAGGAATCACTCCCGATGGGATGCCGGGGAATCGAACCCGGGACAGCCACCTGCAAAGCAAGTGTCCTACTCGCTGTATGATCTCTAGGGTCCCCTGTCTGTTGGCCCCTGACTCTGACCAAAGGCGGTGATACCCAGAGACAGCCGGCAAAAGCCTCTGTGAATAATTAGGACCCAGTGAATGAGAGGTGGGTCCTTGAGTGATGGGGCCGGGTCTGGGAAACAGGGGATGTGGCGGGGGGAGGACCTTGTAGGCAGATTCCCACCTTCTTCTGCTATTCATTCTCTCACCTGGTTCCCCTCCAGCCTTTTGGGGGCCCTTTACACAGCGGGGCTTCCCCTCCTTCCCTGCTCCCTGGCAATTGTATTTGGGGACGTAATTTATTATTATTAATTATCATTATTATTATTATTTTGGGTAACACTTGACAGTGCCAGTAATTCCTGGCTCTGCACTCAGGAATTACTCCTGGCGATGCTCGGGGGGACCATATGGGATGCCGGGGTTGAACCCAGGTCGGCCCCATGCAAGGCAAGCACCCTACGCGCTGTGCTATTGCTCCAGCCCCTTGGGAACGTTCTTATCCCAGCTCCAGGCCCCTTGAAGGAAGGACCCCAGACCCCTCTCAGGCCACTGCCCGGAGTCCTGGGGAGCCGGAACTCTGCATTTCTGGGTGCTGCCGACTTGAAAGATGCTGCCCCTATCCTTCCCTGGTGGCAGGCGGTGCCTGTGGCGCTCTGGCCTTTTGCTGGCCCTGCCGGGGGTGGGTGGGTAGGGGGACAGGAGATGTCCAGGGTCTACCTCTGGGCCTACCTCGGTCACAATGGAGTCCGTGGTGCTGATGTCGTACACCCAGCCGTCCAGGCATGGCTCGGTGGCTGCCTGCGTGTCGTTGGGCAGGCTGGCGTTGGGCGGGTAGAGGAAGCGGAGGCACGGCTCAGGCTTCCCATTGGGGTCCGTGGGCAGCACCCAGGGCCCCGAGGAGGCGTTGGGGGGCGGGCGGCAGTGGTGGGCAGGGGTGATGGCCGTGAAGATCTGCAGCAGGTTGTGGTTGGCCATGCCCAGGATGGGGAATCCCAGCAGCACCATGTTGAGCAGCTGGAAGGGGCCCATGCTGCCCACGCGGTCCACGAGCTCCGAGAAGGTCATGGCGCCGGGCGGGTGGCGCCAGAGCGGCGGCCGAGGTGCCCGGCCACGGGGAGATCGCCTGATGGAGCAAGGGGTGGGGACCCATAGACAGACGCAGGGCTGCACCCGGCGGTGGGGGGGTCCCGGGGGAGCTGCGTGTAGCTTCACCTCCACCTCGGGGTGCCAACAGGGATGTGTCTATACTTCCAGGAGGACAGGTAGGAGAGCTCGGGTGTGTGACCGTGCGTGTGTGTGCACGGGGGGTATGTGCACATTGTATGTGTGTGTGTGTGTGTGTGTGTGTGTGTGTGTGTGTGTGTGTGCGCGCAGGGATGTTGTGCACACAAGTGTATGCGGAGGTGTGCAAGGACATATGTGGCTGTGCCCGTGAGTGTGGGGTGTGTGCAGGCATGTATGTGTGTACCGACATGCATGCGTGAGCCTCTATGTGTGTGCTCACTTATGTGGGGGTGTGCATGAAGCATGTATGTGGGTGTGTGTGTACAGCTTGTGTGTGGGCATGTGCAGGCATGTGTGTGGACATGTGAAGGCATGTATATGGGCATGTGAAGTCATGTATGCGGGCTTGTACAGACATGTGTGTGGGCGTGTGCAGGCATGAGCCCGTGTGTGTGCACATATGTGTGTGTTGTCTCAAGGGTCTAAGCATGTCGCTCAGCTGTGCAGGTCACACACAGTCATGCTGGATCAGGGGTTCCCAGCAGAGATTGAAGGGCCCTGTCTTAGAGTCGGTCACACAGGATGGGGGTGGTGGGGGTGTCTCTGGTCATTCCCAGCAGGCAGAGGGTGGGCAGAGCTGAGGGTGTCCCTGGGGGAAGGTCCCCCCAGCAGACCGAGGGTGGGCAGAGCTGAGGATGTCCAAGGGGAAGGTCCCCCTTAAGCACAAGACCCTGGTTTTGGTCCCCCCAAGGCTGGACCTGCCATCCGGGGGCTCTCAGAGGTCTTGAGGGATGAGGGCGGTTGCTGAGAGGAAGGGGGCTTCCCGGGGGTCCCTGTGGGTCGGGCCCAGAGCCGTCCTCTCCTACCTGGTGCTGGCCCGGCGGGCACTGTGCTGGGAGCCGGTGCTCGGTCTCGGGGCAGTGGCGCTGTGGCCGGCTCGCGGAGCTCCACAGGCCTGTTTGTGCCTCCCCCAGGGGGGCTTATATAAGGCATAAGCTGTTCCCGGGTTAATGTCTGACTTTCTGGGAGGATTAATGCAGCGGCAGGGAGGGCCCACCAGGCCCAGCCTCTCAGGGCAGGGCGGCACGGCTGTGGCCACTTAGGGGAGTGTCCAGGAGGCTCCCCTCTGCAGCAGCCCAGGAGGGGGTCTGGCCTGAGGCCTGAGACATCCTGAGGACTCAGGGCTGAGCAGGGCCAGGGAGAGAAAAGCCGCCCACATTCTACGGCCTCGGCTCACCCCCACCCCACTAGACATCCTGGGACTTGCTTCTTGCAAGTGGTAGAAGACATCTGGGTAGCAAACGTCCCCCCTGAAAATACCCCCTGTGCCAACGGTACCCCAGCCTGAGTCTCTGAGAATCCCCCCTTCCCTCCCTTTAGCTAAAGTATATCCTATACTTAGCTGTCACTTTCTTGCAACTGGGGCCAAGAGAGGGTGGCACGGCCCCCGGGTCCAGGCCTGGCCCAATACTGGCCTCCTGAGCACTGGCTCCGGAGTCCGGTCGTTCCTCTGGGCTCTGTTGGGGTTCCCTCAAAATCCCCTCTCCCTGGAGAGGTGACCGCATAGCTGCCACCACCATCTCCCAGCCCCTATCAGAAGCCCCCATTTGGGGCCGCCAAGTGGGGTCCGCCTGAGTTTTCCTACACCCCAGTATTCAGTCCCGCATCGTAAGCAAGGATGCAGGGGATCGGAGAAGTGGCGCAAACTTCACGGTGGTCCCCCCAGCGGAGGTCGGGCAGGGCCATCAGCTGTGACCCATGGGCTCTGCCCACCCTCTGCTCTTAGCCAGTGACTCTGGGGACCCGCATCGGTCCCTTCCTGAGTTGGAAGGGGCCCCTTCCTCCACTCAGGCAGAGCCCAGCCGGCCCTGAAGCCTCCTCTGCTCCCCCCCCCCCCGCCCCCCTCTCGTGTCCCCCCAAGCACCCCCACCCCCTCCAGGGCAGGGTCAGGCGGGAGGGGGTCCGGCGCCTTCTCTCCGCTCCCACCTGAACCCAGCAGTAACTGAAGTTCTTAGGGCTGCCCGAGGCAAGGAGATCCCAGTCATCAAAGGCAGATTCAGTTATGCTCCCGGGCAGCCAAGGGGTTGTTTTAGGAAGGTTTTTTTCCGACTCTGAGGCTTGCCGGGGAGCTGGGCGGTGCCCCTTCCCCTCCTGCAAACCCCAGCCACAGTCCTCCTGTTCTCGACACCCCCTGGCCGTGAGCGTTCCCACTTTCTAATTGGGCTGGGGAGAAGGGGTCTGTTTCTGTTCTGGAGGAATGTAGCTTAGAGGACCCTGCTGATGCCCTCCGGTTCTCTGCCCGCCCCTCCTAGGCTTGGAGCCATGCAAGCTGCCCAGTGGGGGGCTGTGCCCCCAGTGCCCTGGAGGCTGGGCTTGCACCCCCTGCCCCCCCATCATCACTGAGGAATTCTGCTGGCCAGGCTGGGGGCGGGCGGGCCGAGCGGTGCAAACCGCCTCCCTCGGAGCTCACTGTTTCTCTTCGTGAGTTAAGTGGCTTAGAAAACAAACAAGTCCCAAACAGCAGAAATCGCCTTGAACAGTGCAGTGGGTTCAGGAGACGGTTATATAAGGCTCTGGCCGAAGTGGGAAAGGGGCTCGAGAGAACGCGGCCGGAACCTCGCCCCCTCCCCAAAACCCCTCCCCCGCATCCTGCCCTCTGGTACCGGTACCAGTACCTGTGTCCAGAGATGAGGGTCCACCACATGTTACTCCCCAGATCCTAAATCCACTATGTTGAAATGAACATTTTACTTCAACTCAAATGGCACATTTGGATTGTTTTATAGGCTAAAATGCATTTTAGAGTTCGAGATATGGACATACATTTTCTTGCTTCCTTTCCTTTTCCTTCCCCTTTTCCTTTCTTCCACATTTCCCTTTTTCTCTCTTTCCCTCTTTTTTTTTGGGGGGGGGAGAGTTCACATCTGGCAGTATTCAGGGGCTTGCTTCTGTCTCTGTGCTCAGGAATCATTTCTGGCAAGACTTGGGAGACCACTATGTGTGCTGGGGATCGAGCTCAGGCAGATGTGTGCAAGACAAGACCCTTATCCAATATACTATCTCTCTGGCCTTCCTCCTTCTCCTCCTCCTCCTCTTCCTCCTCCTCCAGGACCTCCTCCACCTCCTCCTCCTCCTCCTCCTCCTCCTCCTCCTCCTCCTCCTCCAGGGCCTCCTCCACCTCCTCCTCCACTTCCTCCTCCTCTTCTTCCTCCTCCTCCTTCTCCTCCTCCTCCTCCTCCTCCAGGGCCTCCTCCTCCTCCTCCTCCAGGGCCTCCTCTTCCTCCTCCTCCAGGGCCTCCTCCTCCTCCTCCTCCTCCTCCTCCTCCTCCTCCTCCATTTCCTCCACCTCCTCCACCTCCTCCTCCTCAGCCTCCTCTTCTTCCTCCTCCTCCTCCTCCTCCTCCTCTTCCTCCTCCTCCTCCTCCTCTTCTTCTTCTTCTCTTCTTCTTCTTCTTTCTCTTCTTCTTCCTCCTCCTCCTCCTCCTCTTCCTCCTCCTCCTTCTTCTTCTCCTTCTTCTTCTTCGCCACATGATGCTCAGGGTTTACTCCTGGCTCTGTACTTTGGAATTATACCTGGGGTCCTTAGGGGGCCATATGGGATGCCAGGGATTGAACCTGGGTTGGTGGTATGCAAGGCAAAAGCCCTACCCGCTGTGCTGTGACTCTGGCCTTCCTTTCTTTTTTTCACCTTTTGTCTGGACTCACCCATTTCCTCGATTCTGTCCTGGGTCCCAGCCCAGACAGAGGGTTTGAGCAGGAAGGGTCCAAGAAAGCAATTGCTCCGAAGGTGCTCACCTGATCCCTTTGGAGTCTGGGTGCTTTGAACAATGATAGGGGATTCCCTAAACTCCCCCTGAAACAGCCAGTCACCGTTCCCTGCCCCTGATCTATTCATCTGTTTATCTGTTCATCTGGGAAGAGAAAAGGCAGCACAAAAACACTACTAGGAGAAACAGAAAGGACTGTTATGCCTCTAAAGAAAAATCGGGGGCCTTGACACTTCAACCCAGATGGCCTCATGGCCATCAGCTACTGATCAAGAGAGGACTTTGGAAAGCCAGTGGCCGCCGGCTGCCAGAGCATGCGCAGTGGAACCCTGGTGGAACCCTGACTCTGCTTTTTCTCCTTATTAAGCTCGAAATACATATTAACTCACCGCCCCTCAGCTGCTAACGATGCTTTGCCTGAGCAAACTTGGTCCTTACCTGTGAGCACATCTTTTTTTTTTTTCATTTTCATTTTTATTTATTTTTTTGACTTTTTAAAAATTGTATTGAATCACCGTGACATAGTTACAAGCTTTCATGTTTGGGTTACAATCACACAATGATCAAACACCCATCCCTCCACCAGTGCACATTCCCCACCACCAATATCCCCGGTATGCTCCCCCTTTCCCACCCTCCCCCTGCCTCCATGGCAGACAAGATTCCCCATAATCTCTCTCTACTTTTGGACATTATGGTTTGCAATACAGACCTGAGGGGTTACCATGTTTGATCCTTTATCCGTGAGCACATCTTTAGCCCTGGCCGGATCGGGGAGCTCAGGCCCAACCCCTTAGCCATTCCTGCCTTAGATATCTCAGTCCTTACAACTGCCCCACACCCAGTCCAGGACTCTCGCCCGTGCCACGGGGGGCGGGGGGGGGCGCTGTCCTGTCATACATCCCTCAATCCCTCACTAGCATCCATGCACAGTTTCTTCATACATCTCTTACACATGCGCCGTGGGGCACTGTGGTTTCATACATCTATTATTACCTGCACTGTCTTGTCCTCGAATTATTTCTCCTACAAAGACAAAGAACCTGGGCACAAAGGAACTCCACATCCATCTCCCTGTCCCAATATCTCCTTGTGGTAACTTTGCCTCCTGACAGTTCTTTCCATCAGGAAGACAAAGGACCCAGTTTCTTTGCATGGAATCCACCCTCGCTGCTCTCATTTCAGTGGGGGAGGGTTTGTTTCCCAGAAGTGAACATAAGTGTAGGACTAGCAGCTCACCAGGTGTTCCCTTCTTTTCCTTGAGGTTCAGAGGTAAGCAGGTATTCACCCAGGCCACCCCCATCTCTATGGTCTCACAAAGTCTGTTTCCAATAACAAGTCTCTCCTTCCTTTATTCCATCCAACAACCTACCCATCCATCCACCCATAATCCATCCATCTACCCATCATCCATCCATCTATCTTTCCATCCATCTACACCCATGCACCTACACACCTATATGCCTATCCACCCACCTATCTACCCATCCACTCATGCCTCTATCCACCATCCATCCATGCACCCACCATCCAATTGTCTATTCATCCATGTACCCATCTCTACATCCATCATCTATCCTTCAATCCATCTACCCACCCACCCATGCATTCATGCAACCATCCATCTATCCATACCCCATCTATCTACCCATCCACCCACCTTACCACACATCCACTCATCTACTCATCCACATACACATCCCTCTGTCCATCTATCCAACCACCATCCACCTACCACCCACACATCCACCTATCAAGGCACACATAATCCATCTACTTATCCACCCACCTGTCCATATATCCATCATCCATTTATCTACCCACCCACTCATCCACCCACACATCCATCCATCCACCCATCCATCTACCCATCTACCTATCCACCCGTCTACCTATTCATCTATCCATTCATCCATCCACACACCCACACATCCATCCATTCACCGATCCACCCAATCATCCGTCTGTCTGTCCGTCCGTCCATCCATCCATCCATCCATCCATCCATCCATCCATCCATGTGTCTCATACCTCATTTGTACAGGCCCCTTCCTGGGAGCAAGGGTGTTTACTCCATCTCTGGTCTACTTATCAGAAAGGCCAGTCCTTCCCCGAATAATTATATCACAAAGTCTACTTCAGTGCACAGAGTGAGCCAGTCACACAGCTCCAGTG